ATTAGAAAAAAAAAAACCCTTAGCTTGCTATCTGACTGCAAAGCGTTCAACAAAATGTAGAGTGATTGCAATAGCGCTGCGCGCCAGGTTTAAAAATAGATATGTCATCTTTGGACCCCCGCTGGTTTAGGAGAAACACTCGGAGTCTACTTGAATCAACTACATAATGTTTTCCCGACTTGAGGCAGTCACGAACACGTGCGATGAGGTCTGCTCATTTTCCGCTCAATTTCAAGCCTCTACACTTTAACCAACGCTTCAATTGTATGTTTGTATAGTTCTCTTGGTCTTGCTCGAACTTTGAGCCAGGAACACCGTCGTTTTGATTTAAAATACGAGCTTTAGAGGCGTTTGAACTAGAGATGGGCACATCATCGCCCATATTCATTTACTAGAGGAGCCTGTTTGTTTGTCCTAATCGCTCTAGGGGGTCAAAATTTCGTGACGTCGCAAACGCGCAGCGCTATTAAGAATAACCGTGGATGATCGTTTACAAGTGCCACTATCGCGCACCCATACGGCGGGGAGGGGGGGGGGGAGTTCAGATCAGCAAGGAGAAATAAAGTTACAGCGGATAATTAGGACTCATTATAAGGTGTGTGTAGATCTATTCCGCACCTCTGTGTTGAAGGAAGACCTTTTGACTTTTTTTAAATCCAGCGACCCCTACAGAAATGTACAAGAAATTAAAAATCACTGGAAGTCTAAGTTTCCTTGAGCCTTTTTTTTTTGTCAATAAATGAAAGAGTTGAGTTATAAGCGCGAGTACATTGGCAAGCTCGTAGCTCATTTAGGCCTGTTTTCTTGGGTTGAAGCGATTGTGAAATCGCAAGTGCATGTTGTCAATAGAAGTGATTAACGTTTCGACAATCTGAGCGGGTCAATTCGAGTGAAAAGTTGTTGAAAGTCGAAAATCTGGCTTGTGTACAGTGATTGGTCAGTTTTTCTGTGATTTTATTGGCCGTAAGACTCAAATGGCGTAAGTCGGTCGTGATTGGTCTTCTCGATCCGTCAGCAAATGTTAGTTCGTTCTGCTTTGTTTCTATGAAGTGCAAATGTTGTAAACGTTGTAAACCGAACTCTCACGACTTGACCGAAAACAACAATAGTTCACTAGACCGTGGGTTTGTGTCAATAACGACGTGTCAGAGTGACGGTTGTATTTTAGAAACTTTAAGCCCCAAAGCAAGCAGAACTGTTGTTCAAGTAGCAGTCTGTTTTGAAAACCGATAAAGCCAGCTTCATATCGGATCCGGAGGTTCTGAGATTACCTATGAGCCGATCTCTTGATAATACCAGAGAAGATACAATATCTTTTAGATAAGCCGGGGTCATGCCATTCAGAATTTTAAACATCATGAGAGCTTTTTGTTTCTTTCTCCACTCCTTGAGATTGGACCGGTAAAGTTTGCTCAAAAATTAAAATCGATAGGCGGCAGCTGTGATTACAATTTGCAGCACGATTTTATAGCGTTTGAGGTTTGTCAGTTAGAAGGTCATTGATGCATCGCGCAGAATGATACTGAGACAGATCCGGGTCCTTTTTAAGCCAACCGGCGGTAATTTGAACGTTATCCCATACAATGCAACCATAATCAAAGTATGGTTCAGCAATCGACTGATAGACAATAATCAGGCTATAAGCTAAGTAGGAACAGAAAGGCAGAATATTCTTTCTTTACACATCATATTTTGGATGATAGTACTTTTATGAGTATCCCATTTCAGAAACTCATCATTTGCCTTACCAAAACAATTGCTAGCTATTTCCGACTTTTTTTTTGTAACGAGATCCCATTTATAGGTAGATTATTTATGTAAGAGTCACTATCCTTTGCCTAGATCCTATTGACAGATATTCTGTCTGTAAAACATTCAAGATGAGCCTATTCGATATCAGCCAATTTTGGAGGAACATTGCAAAACCATGATAGTACCATGTTGCAACTCGGGCTGGGATGCTACAAGCAGCCAAAGTCATATTAGTATCATCTGCCTGCATTCTTGTGGTAGCATAGTCAGTTATAGTGGTAAGATTATCATCATGCATATCAAAAGCTTACAAAAGCGGTGCAAGGCGGTATCGAGTCATAAGGTGTCTCCATATCCGTCTTAGAGCGGTTTTCTCACACAAGATACATAAATGGACGACGGATCCCCATACGAAAACAAATTTTATATGCAGTTTGATAACTTCAAACTTGCGAACAGGCAAACAGCATCGCTTGATCTCAGTGAGTATAGGACTACCAGAAGGCAGTTCAGTTTACCCTAAGAAGATATTTCATCTTGAAACGTTTCAGGGGTTTGAGAATTTTCTCTCTGTGTGTAGAAGGAACCCTATTACAAAATCACTTTGGCTCGCTCAATGATCTTAAACTCAAGTTTAATTCTTTCATCGGTAGTAAAAGCCACATCGCTTGTATGTGCACTAATCTGTCTGTGGGAGGGTACAGTGACAATTACTCGGAAAGAAACGACGAACCAGCTCACTGAATTTCAAAGGCCACTCTGATCGACAAGCTGATGTCACTCCACTGGATTTGATAAATTTTCAAAGGAAAAACAATTAATACAAAAAGACCAACCAACTTTGCATGCCGGAAATTTTTTCTTCATTTAATAAAGTTGCCAGACTATGCCGTGAAAATACAATGAAACCTCGTCACCCCCTTAAGGGAAACAAACAAGAGGTTACAGTCAAACTAAGTGAAGCGTACCCCTCAGGATTACATTAATATTTTGATTATTTGAACATTGAACCCGCTAATCGTTTCAGGAGCGCAATAACGAATTGAATATATGAACATGGAACCCGCTAACCGTTTCAAGAATGCAATAATGGATCGATTATTTGAATATTGAACCCGATAGCCGTATTCGTTTTAAAAAGGCGCGGATCATTGTTCAAATAAGAAGTCCATTTCTGATTGGATTATGCAAAAACGTGATGATGGATCGGAACTATTTCAACTTATAGTTCACCACTAAATTTTCTCCGGTTCTTATTGGTTTAAATCGATCAGGTGACGCGATAGTGTTCATCCGTGGAGAGACACTATAGTGCCCGTCCGCGGAAAATACCCGGATTGATAGTACTCATCCGTGAAAAGTTTTGAATAGTTTGACGGCCGCGAAGTTAGGCAGATCGGAAAAACAGTGACTTTTCAATTCTGACAGGTATAACGTATTATTTAGCCAATGTACGGTTGCNAAAAAGTCGTCGAAGTTTTTAAAACTTCTCCAAATAAGCGAATTTACAGGTTGGCTGCTTAAAAACACACACACACACACACACACACACACACACACACACACACACTCACTCATTTCTACTGGTCGAGGCGGCTTCGAAAAAATCCGAAGAAACTGGAAAGTAATTGTAAAGCGGCCTGTTTAAAAAATAACCGTGTAGCCTCGCTTTGAAGTTGCTGTTTATCTACGAGCTAAATCACATAAACTTTTCTCTTTGATCAGATCGGGTAAATCTAAATGCTGATAAAGCCAACCTCTTTTAATTGCAGGTGGTAGTTTCCGAAGATAGCGTAAGACTTGTAAAGATAGTCACATATAATTTTGGGAGCCTCGTTTGGAGGTGATTTCGTCAATGTTACTCGACCATTTGCTCGACCTTAGAGGTAAGTATTTACCGTCTTCTGACATATAATGACTTAACTGACTCGAAGTCATAGAAAATATTCGTCAGCCTCGATTTGCTGACTATGCTGTGTGCGATCAAATGAAAATCAGATCGTTTTGTTGGCAGTTTGCGAGCGATCGATCGAGAGACGGACGAGCGGGCTTTCACCGTTCCGAAGCAAAGCTGGGGACTTAATGAAAGATCTGTCAGCTGACCACAGCGAGCGATCGAGTGAGTCGGTTAAATATATTCTGTTTACATCGTGAATGCCATAAGAAATCCGCTCCATCTGAAAAAGGATCATTGCAGTTATATGAAAGAGTAAGAATCGGCCATGCTTAACGGCTAAATCGCCAAAGCGGATAAAAGGATCACATGGGTACAATTCATCGATCAGGCGATTGATTTGATTATTTGCTACGATAGAAGATGCTTTACATAAGATGTGGCGTGGTTCCCTAGCTTAAGTTTCGGTCAGCTGAGCTTTTGGCAAGGTAGAGGGATAAGTGGAATTTTCACGAGGCTGTATGACTAACCAAAGGGATTTCGATCCTCACGAATTGCAAAAATTATTTCAACACGGTTTATAATGAAATTACGGCAATAATTTATGGCAGTAATGTAAAACTGCTCGTAATTTGAGTCATGCGGTAATCACGTTGTGTAAACCGCATGTGGCGTCGATTAGTAGAGATCATAAATGTCTTTCCGATTTGCTTGATCTAAGTACGGTTTCTTGGAACAGTCTAGGTAGTACAGACTGCTGAAAGGAATTTCTCGTTCAAAGCTTTGTTTTATAAGTATATTTGTAGATGCTTCCGTTCCATCGAATGCAAATAAATCTTTGGGCGCCTAAAGAAAATAAAGGCTGATAGTTTCGAAAGAAACTGTTTCGGGCTGCGTCGGTGGGAGTAACGAAATAATTTGGATATATCAACAAAGTTGAAATGGTAAATTAGCCACCGTAATGATTACAAAAGCTAAAGAAAATAACTTGCTCTTTCAATCGATCTGCAAAATTCGTAACCTCCCAAAGGATGGGTTTTGAAATGATAATCACAATAGTCTTCCTATAATTTCAACCATGATTGATGCCATTTGAAATCTAACCCAAACGAACACTAAACGTACAACATTTTTGTATAAATATGTCATCTATGCAATCGTCGGTCTTCAAGGCAATTTGTCCCCATTACAGATCGACTAAGATTACTCGACGTTCATTGGTTGAAAAAAGACTATTAAACGTTGCGGACATATCACGCCACGCGCAGACCCGCTCGAAGGCGTCCGTGACGTAGGAACACGCACTGACTGACGACCCATAATTCTCTTGAAGCAAAATCGGCAATATGAGACATGTGACAATATGGCGAGAGTGTGAAGTTATATTGACGATCGATTTATGAAACGTTTTTTTTCCGTTGTAGAAGCTTAAAGGCTCCGACTTTGTGTTCCTGAAAGTTACTTTTATGACTGAGCGAGTATTGTGTCGAACGATCTGCTCTGACATTGGCAAGTTGTGAAGGAAGAATTGCGACGCAAGCAAACAAACGGTTGGAGAACTGGGGAAATTCGATCGTGAAGGCGCTGTAAACAAAGGTTACTTTTATTTCGTGACCAAATGGATGACCGCTGCAGCTCTCCCGAGATCGATGTCGTCGGATTAGGCGATCAATCTCGAAGTTTCACCCATCGAAGGGAAATGTCGACATACTCGGGCAGAAATGCGAGGAACATTCGACAAGCGAATCAAAGTGACGCGATTAAACACGCGGCAAATACAAAAGCGAAAGGTAAGAGCAATGTAGAGACCGTGAATCTTCGGGTTAAAAACATGGGAATTATTATCGTAAAGAAAGAGCCAGAGGAAGACGACGACAGTGAAGTTTCTTATTCTCTGAGTTCCCTTCTTGACGAGTGTGATTTCGAACAAGTGCCGCGAAAGAAAGTCAGGGCGCTGAAATCACCGACTTCTCTTGCACTCGCGCAGTCGAAGTCGTCGGAAGCTGTTCGTCCTATTTCGGGACGACCGAGGCAATCCTTGGAACATGTTATTAGTTCACTAAAATCTGCACGAGATACAAGCATAATTAAACCCAAATCTTCAACAAACAGGGCACCCAACTTTCAGAGTCCTGTGGTCCCTATATCAATGCCCTCTCATATACTTTCTGTAGCACCTGCTCCACACAACTCATTCAGTCTTCCCGGTGGAGCTCGAGGTGCAACTGTACCACAGATTATTGATGTACGTTCCTTAGCTACTGGTCCTCACACTGTGTCAACTGGAACGGCAGCAAAAACTTCTCTAAACTTGTCATCTTCAAAACCATATGTCCCTCAATCAGTTCAGTTGAGCAGTAGAGCTCTCAGTAGTGCTTACTCCTCACAAGGTGCCTCAAATATACCGGTAACTTTAGCTCAGTTGGCAAGGCCAGTCAGTGCTGGTCCTGCCACACAAAGTATGCCTAATCTGCCAAAAACTAAACCTCTGATTCAGGGATCTCAGGTTCCAAGTATGAAACCGGCTACTACAGGCTCAAAGCCTTTAAATATCAGATTTGTTTTACCTGCCACTGCCCCATTTAACACGACTGAATTTCAGCAAGTTCTACAGGCTGCTCTTGCTTCTGTGGTCAGCCAATCCAAAGGAGTTGAAGCAAGTCTGTTGCAGCAGGCAATCCAGGGAGCACTATTAACTGTTGCAAAGTCTCCACAGCCATATAGTGTTATTGAACTGAAGAGAGCAATACAGGATTCTTTGGCAGTTTTGGTTGCAAATTCACCTTCATCTACAGGTGCACTTAGGCAGCAATTCATAGTGCCCAAGCTACCAAATACACGCACTGTAACAGATAGCATTAAACAGTTAAAAACCTCTCCAGGTATGGCTGCAAGTGGAATAAATCCCACTTGCTCGCCCTTAACTGTCATATATAAGAATATTAGCCCCGTTACACAAACTGGCAGTTTGTTAACTTCTGGTGTTGAAACTTCATCATGTGGAACTCAAATTCAAAAATCTTTGAGCTCTGCTAGAGATGCCCTTGTTAAAGTTCTTCAAGAGAAGAGGTTTTTAAACAGTCCTCAGTCTTTGTCCTCTGCAACATCAACACCCACATCTGACATTTCACCATTAGTTCCAGAGCCAGTTTCCATTGATGAACCTTGTTTAGAGTCCTCCCCAACTTCCCCAGAGGTACCCATGCTGCAAGAACCTACTGTCCCTGCTTCTTCTAAGCCTTGGAACACTGTCAGCAGTGTAAAACATGCCACATCCACCCCAGCATCAACTCTTTCTCCCACAATTTCTGCCAGTGACACAAATCCCACTGTCCAAGCTACAATTTCACAACCTCAAGTGATAACGTCCTCTGAAAATGCTCTAAGCACAAAGGAAGCACCCACTTCTACACCTAGTGAGGACACAACACAACCCAAGAAAGCTGGGAAGAGTGGCTGTGGAGGGGGATGCTGTCAATTCTGTCGCACCTGTCATGAAAATGTGAATACCTGTGGGTTTCCTTCATGTCAGAAAATATTTCCTTCTAAACAAGCTCTTAGAAAACACTACTATTTTAATCCCAGTCATGCACTCCGTATCCCTGTAGAGAAGGCATCAGTCGCATGTGAGAACTTCTTACCCTTGGAGCTTAATGAGTTGCACCGTAAAGCAAGGATACGCGAATTATTAAAGCGGATTGATGATGATGAGTTGAAGGAATTGCTCATGCCTCGTCTGGCCAAAATTGTGTCACTTTTCCAGTTACTGGAGCAAAAGTCTCTTCGCGTTAGTCTGGGCAGTATTTCTGCATTCAAAATGTTTTCAGAGTTTGAACGTTTTAAAAAGGAAGTAGAAGCAAGATTGCTGGACTTGATTTTCCAGCCACAAGGCAAATCCTGTGGTAGGACTGGCAAAAACAAACTTGGATTGAACATTGACAAAACAGCAAAGGGAAAAACAGCTGAAACCAGTTCTGCAATAGGAAGTCAGATTGCTGCAAGTGCCTTTGGGCAAGATGCATCTAAAGATATGTCTTTGTCAGCTACGAGTACACCTTTAGATTCTTTTACAGATAGTAATTCAGGAGGTGTTACTTCAGAAACTGCAAAGAAAACTGTTGAACTAGATGTTGACTCGTCGACAGTGAAAACTACAACTGAAGCTCTTAAAGCCCTGTTGCAGTCTGAATCAAAAGAGGTGTCTAGCTCTCTTGGAGATAAAGGAGATGCAAATAAGGAGGAAATACCCAATGCTGTTAGAAGTGGTAACAAGTCAGGAAATAAGACATCCTCAGTCCTAAATGTCCCAGAAAGTAGTACTGCAGAAGAAGCTGCAAATAATGGCTCGTCACCTGAGCTAGAGGAGGTGGTTAGATCTGGTGCCGACAGTACTGATATGAATACAAGAGAAGTGCCTAATGCTGTTGCAAGTGGTGCACCCGAAGACAAAAGTATTTCTCCTGTAAACATTAACACTGAACATTCTGGTAAAGACTCTGGCAATGTTGAAAAGTCCTCCCAACCTGGAATGACTACAAAACAGGAAGATTTCATACCAAGTGGAGAAGATGGAAGCAAAGAGGATGAGCCAAACTCAAATCCCCAGTCTGTTGAAGCAAACCAAGGTTCAGGTGAACATCAGAAGCCTGAATCTTTGCAGCCACCTGATAATGTTGGAGGCCACTCTGACAAGCCAACTTTGAAAAATTCCCCATCCTTTCCTTTGGACTGCCTACCACAGTATGTAACCGGGGAAGGTAGGATATCTTCAGAAATTGAGTCAACCAATGTGCTGATGGCAGATAATCAAGAAGAAGCTAATTGTACCACCCAAGATGGTGTGACAAATTCAAGTAAAGAAGAGAAGAAAAATGAATCTCAGAGAGACACTATTGAAAATATTGGTGTAGTGAGGGGAGAGGGTGGCAAAGTGCATGTTTCTACAGGAGGTGTGAACCAGAAAACTGAGGAAAGCAATAGGGAGCAAACTAAAAGTGCCCTTGATGTAATGAAAGGAATGGAGGTGGAGGTGCAGGATAGTAATTTCACAGACAACAGTACTATACAAGGGGACAAGATGACTGCAGAACATTCTGATCAAGCAAAAGAGATTGTTTGTAGGGACACTGGAAGACTAGGAAATACTTCCAAGGCTGAATGTCAAGAAGATCAAATTATGATTTGCAAAGAGGATGAAACAGGTGTTGCAAACAATGAAAATACCTGTACTCCAAAACCAAAAAGTGACCAAGAAGATATAAGTGAGAGTGGTTCAGCAAGTGTCAAGCCCAATGTGGACTCTGAAGACATCAGGCAGCAACAGACTCTGCAGGGTAAAGCTACAGAGAGCTACAGAGAAGGAGACAAAGAAAAAGTTAACTCAAGCAGTAAAAAGGAAACAACAGATGAGGGTGGAAGTAACTCAGTCGTTGACCAAGTCTATAAAGATGCAACAGAAACTAGTGATGAAATTCCTCATGAAAAAGGTGACAAACAAGCGGTGGAGGTGACAAGTGAGAAAAATGCTGATACAAATCCCAGCACTGAGGAGAAGTCTCAGGGAACTTCTGCTGGTGATACTAATGCAGCTGAGTCTTCTTCCTTAGAAACTGAAGTTGGAAGTGACAAAAAAGATGATGCTGTTGCAAAAGAGAAAACTTTGAAAGAGACATTAGAAAACCTTATTTCGGAAGATTTAGAGGAGTTAGATGAAAACAATATAATGGATTTTGATCTTCCACTAGCAGTTAAGTGGGGTAGAGTAATTAAAAAAGTGAAAGACAACGAGGTGAAGAAAATCGCCAGAAAAGAAAATTACTCCGATCAAGACATGAAACATTTCATTTTTCACAAGCCCAAGGAGGCAGCAAGTGCTGTTATAATTGCTGATTGCCATGCTCATCCAAGCTTCTTCCGAGCCTATGTCATGCCAGCACTGTTGGACAAGCACATTGATGACTTTGGTGTGTTTGGTAAAAAACTTTTGAGTAGACTGTACCTTTCACAGCAGAAGTATGTGAAAGTTCTCAGAAACAACATCGGTCCACAACTGGCCAAGATACTTGGAATAAACATCTTTCCTACTTACAAAAGGATACAAGACACCTGGGCCACTGTTAAGAGGCCAGGGTGGACATCTGGGCCTTCGGCATTGACAGTATTTACTATAGAGCCAGAAGATGATTATGAAGTTCCTGATGATGTAGAAGGAATAGAATCTCAAGCACAGACACTCGGACCATCAGTGCAGGAGCTACATGGAGTTGTACAAAGCCATGCTAACAGGATAGGAGAGTCCCTCAAGAGAGCCACATCAGCAAACACTACCCTACCAGATGGAAATAAGAAGCAAAGATTGGAAAATTCAGGTAACATTCACTTTACAGAAAAATGATTAATCTAAACATTGAGCAAGATATAGGTCATGTGTAAGAGAACCCCACTAAAAGAATGGCTCACACTTGACCCTAGAAACAGCAATGTGTTGGCCTTCTCAAGGGATAGAGGGTCTTAGCATGAATGTATGTTGTGGTTCAATAATTTTCTTTTTCTCTTGATTGAAAACTTTTCGAAACAGGGTGATTGGCATTTTCTTTTTCTTAATCATTATCAAAACTTGCAACAAAAAGAAATGAAAATCAAGCTGCTTTGAAAAGTTTCAACTTGGTCCTTAAAACCCTTAGAGTTACCAGCATGTAATTTCTTCACGTAGTAATACTGCTGCGTCATTCTTTAAGGCCACGAGATTATAGGAAATGATTGCAAACCTGAGAAGCTGTGATTGTTAAACTTATTCTCCTTGGCCCAGTTGTTCAAAGGCCAATTAGCACTAACCCAGGGTTAAATTTTCCTCTAGGTTTCCTTATTTCTTTATTCAAGAAGCTTTCTGGGATAATTTTCCCATAAAGTGCTCTTTTAGAGCATCAAATCATTAAATTGTAGACAAATATTGTTAAACTCAGTGCTTGACACTAACTTTTTAACTTCCCAGCCAAGTGGCTAGTGACATCCTAGATGTTTTTATATGTTACAACAATTTCAGTTTGTTTACTAGCCAAACTGGCTAGTGAAAATTGAAAACCACTGGCCAAAACTGAATTTCTAGTGGGCTACCGTCAGTGTCAAGCCCTGAAGCTGAATTTTCTTTTAAAGTGCACCTACACCCAAAATTTTTTTTTTGCTTAACGAAATAAGCTTATTTTTTGGAGTATTTCTGTGCAAAAATTTTTTAATTTGCTCAAATCTTTAATTTTCTATGCCCAGTCAAAATACGGAAAATCGGCCGCCATCTTGCCCCACGACCGAGTTTAAAGAAGAATGGCTCTAGCGGGTAATGTGACGTCAAATCGAGAACATGAAAGTCTGCATCTCACACATTTTCACTTGTTTGGGAAGATTGTCGTCGATATTGTCCGAAATATGCCGACTAGGTGTGTTGTATGAAGAATGTATGAAGCGCAATACCCTCTTGCAAATTTCGCACGTTGCTACATCCTTCTACAACACACTTAGTCGGCATATTTTCGGACAATTATCGACTACAACCTTCCCAAACAAGTGAAAATGTGTGAAAAGCAGACTTTCGTGTTCTCGATTTGACGTCACTTTACCCACTAGAGCCATTCCTCTTTAAACTCGGTCGTGGGGCAAGATGGCGGCCGATTTTCCGTATTTTGACTGGGCATAGAAAATTGAAGATTTGAGCAAATAAAAAAATTTTTGCGCAGAAATACTCAAAAAAATAAGCTTACTTCGTTAAGCGAAAAAAATTTTTTGGGTGTAGGTGCACTTTAAAGCTTTTAGATCTGAAATCAAATTTCGTGCTTACCCTGAGTTATCTTAAACCAGCTTTGAACAACCCCCAGCCCTTGACAGTATCAAAGGAGATTTACAGAGAAGAGTAAAGAGAATGTGGATATTGATACTAGGGTTTTAATGGTTATGAGGGGACTTGAGCCGGAGTGTATACACATGTTTGTGTGATTTGAGGTTGTGTTTACAACATCAGAGTACATGACTGTACGACTTTTCATGGTGCATGTATCTGTGTTGTTGTTATCTGGGTGTTGGCTTTATTTTTCAACTTGTGGCAATGCTAAGCTTGAAAAACAATTTATAAAATTATGGAAAGTGTACTGGATTTGTGGAAAAATACTACAGATGGATTTTTATTGCAAATGTATAGTTAATTTTTACAAGCCCTCAGCAAGTGCACATAGTGAATCTGACATACAGAATTCTTTTAATTGATTTGTTTTTCTCTTAATTTCAATACCAAAAGGAAAACATCTACAGGTGCGTAGCATCCTATACGCATATACACACGTGTGTACTTGAAGTGACCAGAAAATTTTGAAATTTTTAGCAATTGTTTCTATTTTTTCCTTCAGTTTACTTAGGTTTCTAGATTATATGTACTTTAATATGCATACTTGAAAAAATTACCACCCTACACGCCTGATCTACAGTTTTATACTTAATCCTTTACACCCTAATGTCAGTATGCATATTCTCCATACTATGCTTGATACATTTCCTAAAGCGCAAACAAGGAGAATTTGTTTAACAATCAAGTGTTCCATTACTTTGAGATTATTTTCTTTTTCTCATGACCTTCAAGGCTGTGCGCTAAGGAAAATTGAATGGAGCCCAGTACTGTGCTCTGAAACTGTGAAATCCAGGGTGCCCAGTATATGCTTTATATGAAACAAACTAAAATTCCTGAGTCACCCAAGAACAAAAGTAAGGCACCAGGGGCCACTGGGCACCGCTAGACCACAGCCTTGGCCTTAAAATGTTTGATTCAGTGGTGATATTGTAAGACGAAATTAGATGCTAGTCACTGTAGGAGGTTAAAGGGCTAACTCTTTCACTCCCAAGATCACATTTTTTAGTAATTCTCCCAACTGTATGCCATACAGTTTGTATGGATCAACTATTACTCATTTGAAATTAATTGATGCTTTTCTTTATTGTCGTCGCTTGTCTGCTGGATATTGTATTGATCAGGTATTGCAAGGAGAAATTCTGTCTTTGTCATTGACTCTGATCGTGGTGGTAGGTTCTGCCATTTATCTTGGTGTAAGTTGTTTTTTTGTCTTTCAGATGCTACCATAGATGTTCAAAGTGAAAAAGGTAACAAAACTCAAACACCTGCAAGCTCAGAAATAACTGTACAAAAAGAAACAACAAGGCAATTGAATGAATGGAAGACCACACCAGTTGAAATAGACAGTTCCAAGTCTAATGACCAAGGTGATAATATGCAGGAAAATAGAGCCAACAAGAACCAAACAAAAGCACTGGATGATTTAGCAGCAGCAAGTGAGTTGGGTCTAATAATTTTGTAAATTTTCTCCTATGGCTTTCAAATTTCCTTTTCCCCTTACATCCTGACATCAGTAAGCATATTCTTTATACTGTTCTTCATATATTTCCTAAGGCACTGACAAGGAGAATTTGTTTAATAACAATCAAGAGTTCCTTTGATTGGTGATCATTTCCGGCTTTATTCTCATGACCTTAATTTGTGATTTAGGTGTAATATCGTAAGGAGAAATTAGGTGACAGTCACTCCTAAGCCCTAAGAGTCAAGAGTTAATATCACTTGGGAGAATTTGGAGGTTTTAGGCATTTATCTATGATTATCCCCAGCACAAGTTGTATATCAAACATCCCTGAGGTTTGCTTGCATTATTTGCAGTATAGTTTCAGATACTTCTTGGGTATTATTAATTGATCAATAACTTCTCCAACCAAACATGTACAGATGAGAAAGTTGTAGCAAATAATACTTCTCAAGAAAGAAATTTACATAATTATTGTGAGTTGAAATGACTTACTGGACATTGCTTGGTGTGAAATCTTTTTTGTTCTTTATGGGGGAGGGGGAGAGGAGGGCTTGACACTAACGGTAGCCCACTAGCCACAGACTAGTAGAAATTCAGGTTTGGCTAGTGGTTTTCGATTTCCACTAGCCAGTTTGGCTAGTAAATAAACTGAAATTGTTGTAAAATCTAAGATGTCACTAGCCACTTGGCTAGTAAGTTGAAAAGTTAGTGTTGAGCCCTGGAGAGGGGACTAAAAGAGTGGTCAGAGAGGAGAAATGCAGAGGAAAACTTGAGGAGAAGGATGGAATTTTTAATTTTAGATTTTAGACTTCTCCATACTGTTCTCTAATTGTATACATTTCCTTTGGTGCTGACAAGGAGATTTTCTTTAACAATCAAGAGCTTGTTAAGTTGGTGATCATTTCTTTATTCTCATGACCATAATGTGTGATTCAGGGATGATATTGTAAGGAGAAATTATATTTTAGTCACTCCTAGGAGTCAAACAGATAACACTTTCATCCACATGTACTTTTTCATTCATCCATTCCTGTAGAACATGACACAGAGAATGCAGTATCCACAAGGTCAGTAACTGCATCAAGAAAAGGAACTTCTGCCTCACAAGAATCTGACGACAAAACAAATAGTAAGTAGTTATAGAGTCAAATTTGTATATTGTAAGGATCCAATGAACACTCTACTGGGTGTTGTTCAGGAGCACGGCTGCTTGGTACCATAATTATTTCCTGAAATAAATAAAGTCATTTCAGCTAAAGAGAGGGGTGCTTTTTATTCAACTGTACTGATTCCGTTGTAGTTGAACCTTCGAAAGTTATAGGAAAGGGGAACAGAAACAGGTTTCCTTGTATTCCTACTATGTAAGAAAGTGAGGGAGGAAGGGCACTTAATTCAAT